AATGTTATAACTTCGCGTGAAACTGGATTAACATAATAATATTCGTACAATAGTGACAAATGCAATGTAAATCGAATGCTTATTGAAATTTGCTGGTGATTTTAGTGTTGAAAGTGAGCAGAACGCACTGCGCATTTTTAAATGAAAGCGTTCATCACATTGGCAAAATTTCGCTACCGAAATTCAGCGTACATGCATAATTGGTTAGGTATGTATGTATTTATATGTATGTATGCAGATATTTAAATGCCGGTTTGCTATTCGCGCGACAAGCTTTTTTAAAAACGAAGTAAATTAGTACAAATTGTTAGTAATTTTCATTAGAGTTTGAATAACTCCTTACACTAAATGGCTTTTAGTAACTTTAACGAGACCTTAACTTATTTTATTTTATTCATTTTAGTGCAGTTTTGACAAAATTTTCTTGCTAAAAAATCTTTTGTTTCACTACTTTATTTTATTCCTTTGATTAAACATGTTAAATAAAAGCTTATTTTTAAAAAAATATTTTTTTTACATTACTTTTTTTATATTTAAAGTGTAAATTTGTATATGTGCCTATACTTCTGGGCAAAACAAAAACAAATGTGCTACAAGTGCTTACGGAGTGAGCAGCTCTGCTGTATACTGTGGCCTACTGCAATTCGATTTGCAACACTACTCGAGTAGTCGAAAAAAATCAACTATTGACATAGTCGAAGGCGGGCGACTATTCGAATATCATTAACCGACTAATAAGCATTCGAACGGTTAGGAATCGAATAATCGGTTAACCGAATAGTAGGATAATTTTACGAGCCCTATACTATAGTATGAATCCTTCGGCATAGCCGAAGACAGCACTGCCCTTATTTCTTTATGATCAGTTTAGTCTTTCAGATTTGTACCATTTTTGAATCGACTAACAATTTCGCATATGCATGTACATACTATGTAAAACTTGTTGAAAAATTAACGTAACTAGATCAGGAACCGTAACAAACACAACTTTTATTATAAAAATCGCTCTTTAACAATTATTTTTTATTTTTATTTAATTGCTCCTTAAATAACAGTTATTTCTGATTTTTACTTTATGAATCCGAAATAACAATTATTTTTGATTTTTATCGAAATAATCTGCAAATAACACTTATTTTTAATTTTTATATCATTTTGTGGGGAGATTACGATAACCGGGCCACAGATTTTGACCGGCCAAAATAATCGGCATCGGCTAATATCGGCCAAAAGAATCGGCATCGGCCGCTTTTGGCCGATTCTTTTTACTTTTTTCGCACCTTCATTCTATATTATTTAGTGTTTACTTTTTTAATTCCTTTAAATCTTAAAATATTAATGCATCTGAGTCCTCCTGTCATAAATATGTTCTCATGTTTCGTATTTATGATGAGAATGTAAATAGGAAAGACACAGTTTAGCACGTTTTCGTTATTTTTCTTTGTCTAAGAAACGTTTATTATTTTTTTATGAAAATATAGCTTACTATATAAACAAAACCCTGTAAATCAAACGGTAAGCCCTAGTCACTTAAAATTTGCACTTCGTATTTAAAAATTGAATGGGATACAAAGCTGCATACTCAGAATGTTTCTAGAAAATGTAATTAAAAGCTGTCCAATTTTTCTACTATTTTTACAAAGTTTGAAATTTGTACTTAAATGGTTTGTGTTAGATAATGAGCTACACTTTCATAAAAAAGTAATAAACATTAAATAAACGAAAGGGAAATAACCAAAGAATGCTCCCAGCAAACATTTGGAGTCATAAATGAGTCTTTAAGGAGTCCCATTTCGGAACCTTTGTGCTCATTATGAGCTCATTTAAGAGTCCGAAATGAGGGTGTTTCCCTTACTGCGAAGGTCGTCCTATATGAGCTTAAATTCATACATCAAATGAGCCTCAATATGAGTCATATTGGACTCTTATTGGCCTCATATACGGTTCATTTTGGACTCTTTTTGAAGCTCTTAAATGACTCTTATTGGCCTCATAAATGCCTACTTTCGGAGCTCCTTGTATGCTGTTCTGTGACTCTTATTGGCTTTATTCTTCAACTCTCTTAATGAACTTACTTTAGAGCCATGTTAGCAAGGAATTCATTTCAAATACTGTTGCATATTTATATACAAACCTCTGCGCATACATATATACATATGTTCATATATTGCAGCATTCGTGTAATAGCAGTTGCTGCAGCTAAATTTTGTTTATTTTTCCTTCCTAATTATTTTTCATATCTGTATAAACAAGTTTAGATATAAATTTCTAGTCGTTATTGTTTTTATACTGGCACAAAGTGCTGGCTCATAACTTGGATCATATATGACTCCTAAAAGATT